AACGCAAGTTGTGATACAGTTTTACTCTACTCGTGAGATGCCGTACTCCCTCCGTTTCTTTTTACTCCGCATATAAGATTTGGTCAAAGTCAAACTACATAAAATTTGACCAAATTTATATATAAAAATATAAACATCTACAATATTAAAACTATAGTATGAAAATACATTTCGTGATGCATCTGATAATGTTGATTTCATATTGTCAATGTTTATATAGCACCACGTATTCGCGAATGCTGGCGATTAATGTGTGAGGTATTGGAAACGGGCTATAATAAGTAGCAATTGCGATGGGTGCACGGACGAACAAGATTCCAACTTCGCGTGGCCTCATATCCCAAAAATCCGCGTCGACCAAAAGGTCTTGTATTTAGAAACGAAGGGAGAGGTGAAATTAGAGTTGGAACACGGGGCGTCCCAGATTGAAAAACAGCGACGGTTGCGTGTCACTTTCTTTTCAATGGAGATTTAGAAGAAGAATTTTGGCTTTTCGTTTATTCCTTTCCCCTGCCCACCTTCCTCTCCCCTCGCACCCCCTTTCCCTTCCAACCCCGGGCAGCGGATCTACCTGCCGCCGCCTCGATCCCGCCTCTCGGCGACCTTGCGCAGTCCTTCTTACTCGGGCCCCGGGGCGTCCTGCGGCTGACTCCACCCCGTCCCAGTCTTCGTCCGGCCACCGGATCTCCTCCCTCCCTCTGAGTCTGAGGTATGCATGAGCAGCTAGCTAGGTTGTTTCTTCTCATCCACCGCAGCATCACTTCTCTTTTTTGTTAAATCAAATCGGTCAATTCCCTTCCACTAGGGTGGGGATGGGGCCTTCGAAATTTCCGGGCCAGATCCGCCCCTGGCAGGGTCATGCCTGCTGTTGTGTTCCTGGATTCCTTCTTGTGGATGATATGTGTATGATTCGGGTGCTGTCTACTCTTGCGTGGTTACAAATTTCGGCTTCTTTTACAAGGGATGATGATGATAGCTTGGTGCTTTTTTTATTATGGTAACAATTAGTACTCTCCATCTGGATTCCCTTGCTTGTAAAATTGCTGTATTTTTCACAAGATACTGTATTAACTATTGATTCCTAAGCGACTAGCAACTCCATTAGTGTTTTAAACGTCTCATCGTCATTTCATAGATACAGTAGATTCTAACTGCTGCTCTTTGTAGATTTTGAAGGAAGGACAGAAGCCGAACCATGGGGAAGAGGAAGGCGGCCGCTAAGCCACCCCCTAGGAAGCGGATGGACAAGCTCGATACCGTCTTTTCCTGCCCATTCTGCAACCATGGGAGCAGCGTTGAATGCCGGATGTTAGTACTATCTTCACCTGTTCTCTTCTTAATTTGGAATGGCTGCCCATTCAACATTGTGACTGGCCTTTTCTTTCTTCCTTCAGTGATCTGAAGAATCTGATTGGTGAGGCCAATTGTCAAATCTGCCAGGAAAGCTTCAGCACCACTGCAAATGGTATGTCCAAATTTTACATACAACTTCTGATTGTAGACGTAGATGCCATACTGATTCATTTTCAGCCAGAAAATTCCACACAACAAATCTCGTTGGTTTTGTTCCTTCTCAACCTAATGATTACAACTCTGGGAACAGGCTATAGCTTGTCTACAAGTTTCATACAGCCATGCCATTTCATATACTCTTGGGGGTTTAGTCACTTTAATCAACTAGGTCATAATAGAGCATAGCCGAGGTAGTAAATCTTTCAGGGCCAAATGCGAGCTCGGCTGCCATTAAATCACACCATCATGTCTGTAAGATGGCTATGTGTCTCCCTATTTTATCATGTCCTAGTCTGAGTTAACTGAATTGCTTTTCATCAGAACTGAACCTGTATGATAGTATATCCTGTAAAGGAAATACAGTGTTACGTACTCCCTCCGTCCCATAATGTAAGACGTTTTTTGACACTACACTAGTGCCAAAAAACGTCCTACATTATGAGACGGAGGGAGTAGTTGTTTAGCTTTGTTGAGCTAATGTTCTAGAATTGTACTAACTCTCTGTTATCTTTGGTGCAGCGCTCACTGAAGCTATTGATGTGTAAGTCAGAATCCAACAAATACCTCTTTACTCGTTGTTGCAACTCCGTCAGGTTTATCCACACCACACCTGGAACTGAAAATTGAACCCCTTGTCCTGCAGATACAGCGAATGGATCGATGAGTGCGAGCGTGTCAACACTGTTGAAGATGACGATGGTGCATGAGCAAGTGTAACTATAATACTCTATGATCTCAACGTGTTGATGTCATTTACTGCCACCGTCAGCCATATCTGTAGTAGCATTGTAACAATGTACTGGCTGACTTAAACGTTAGTAGGCAGTTTGTCCCGTGCTTAATACACAACCGATGATATTGTGTACCTGTATTTGTAAACCTTGGTATAGCGGCTGAGATTACACCTAATCTCGGTACCTGCAAAGAATGTGTACTTGAGACATGATGTTTGTGAGGCTGTTCTGTGAACCGTCAAGTCAAGAATTTATACTTATGGTATGGTGGTTGTTTGATAGGCCTTTCATGTGAGTTGTTTCCCTAGCCTGTGGTTGTCCCATGAACTGTGAATCGTAGAATGTATGCTACTTTGGGATGTGCAAGCCAGTATGAAAAAAATCTCTTACCAGCCCAGGGACAGTATTTCGAAGCATGTCGTGTGGTTCAAAGGATTGCCCCAAACATCGTAAACATGTATGAACCGCAGATTTGTTAACTTGTTTGCTGTTCTCAGCAATTTTTCAAAGAAAAACAAGACTACTCTATCGGTTGGGTGGGTCAAATATATAATGATTGGTTTAGTAGCTTGGGTGTGGGTTAACCTGCATTTTGCAACACATCAAACAGTGGTGGCTTGCTTTCAATTTGCCTGATAGAAACAGTTTGGTTCAATTTGTTTGCAAGGCAGACTTGATTTTATGCTATGCTGATTGCAACCAAGATTATGAATCAATTAACAATTTCCTCGTAAGGGTCCTGGTTTAATTTCAGAGATAAATAGAAGAGGCCAGTAATTGCAATGGTTTATTCCAAACCGCAGCCACTCCAACAGCAAGCTGCAATTGTTTTCCAGGATGGATAGATTACTTAAAAAGGAATTTATCGCGGTGTGCAGCAGAGCTTAGCGAAGGCAGTGTACTTTATTTACTTAGCTCACTAACACAGTATATGCAAAAGAAATTACTGCACATTCTTTTTTTAAGATAAGACAGTGTAGTAGTAGTAGTAGTAATTGGGGTTTCAGAAGTAAGGGTGGCAATTTGGTTTGTGACTGCACCTTTTTTTAAAGAAATTACTGCACATTTAATTTTTTTTTTACTTGAGACTACTCTTGTGTTTGTCTTGCCTTGTGACTGTTTCAAACCGCAACAATCGTTTTGTTTTTCTATGTTCGAATGGTCATTTTCGTCTGTTTGGCTGCCTATTTATATTGCTACAGGAGTAGCACCCTCTGTTTTTCCAGCAGCAGAGCACCACTGTTGTTGCACATCTCTCAAGATGTATGTGCATTCTCAGAACTGAGGTATCATCAGTAACTAAAGAAAACAGTTGGATTATGCAGCCCTACCCTTATGATGATCTATCAGAAGTACGTTCTCATGGACTTGCTTAGGTATACATTATCTGCAAAGGTTAGACCAAGCGCAGTTTCGAATTTCGTATATCGATCTGGGCGTGCTCCATTTACTTGTTGTTGTTGTTGTTGTTGTTGTTACTGTGACATTTAGGTCATCAGGGGGAGTTTTTTGCACGGGTTGTCGTTATGAGATGCCGAGATGGATAAATGGAAAATGAATGGTCTGACAAAGGGGATGATGGAACAGAATAGAAATAGCAACAGTCAAGATAATACACGAAGCTAGAACAGAATAGAAAATAAATACTAGATACAGAAGTGTACACGAAAAAATATGTAAATTTTGGCCATCTGTTTGGGCAATAAAATGAAGTTATACCACTTAATATCTTGGCAGGGATCACATTTCGTTAAGCTGCGTCCGGACATCCGATCGCGGACGGTGGTTTGAGTGCGCGCGTTGGAGATGCCCTAAAGACTCTTCCAAAAGCTGAAATCCCCCCTCCCGTATGTTTCTCCGCGAGCTGTGGTAATTTCTCCCCTTGGGATTCTGCATCTGGGAGATGGAATCTGTCGAGCCCCTCTAACTCGGACTCCTAATCTCCAATCTCGCTTCTTCTCTAAATGGTACTGGAATACGCCGGCTGAATTATCCCGACCGCTGATGAAGAGAACTCTGACCGTGTGTGTGTGTGCCTCTGTGTGCTTCTAGGAGAGACCTTTCTGTGGATGTGAAATTCTGAACAAAAGTATCTCATTCCCAGACACACCTACACTTGTGTTTTGACTATGCTTGCTTGTTACGGAGTACATGAGAGGTTTGTGCTGACAGTGGGCGCAATTAGATGCGGCTGACACTTGTTCTGCAAGAAGAGAACTTTCTGGTCTTGCCAATCAGACATTCGGAGTTGGTTCCATGTATGCTCTGGCTGTTGGCACGAGCCACTTTTAGGCATACCCGTTCACCGTTAAGACATCCAAGCACAAATCAGTGGAGGAAGAATCAGAGACAAACAAACTCTGTTCCAGCAGAAAGCAAGTTATAAATCATATCATATTCAGGTCAGCAATCTGGTTACTCTGCTGCTGCACTGCATGTATTTTCTTGATCTCATCGAAAATGTCTTGCATGCCCAATTTTCTCATTGTTATTATTATTTTGCAGTTTATCTATTTATTTGGCCTATCGCAGTTAACATATATGGAAGAAATCAGAGGAAAGCTTCTGACACATAAGCTAAGGGATGATGATGATCTGACAGAAGAAACCAGAGGGATGCATCATGACAGAGGTTAACTGATCCACTTCCACGCTTGATTATTATCTATTGTTACACACACATTCATGGTAAGCAGAGCACAGAGCAAGGAAACGAAGATCAACACGACACACACGCACGCACACGACCAGCTCCTACTGCTGGTGGTCGTGGTCCTGGAGGAGCGGCGGCGCGACCTCGACCCTGGCGACGCCGGCCCGGGCCTGGGCCACCTTGGCGACCTCCACCTCCCCGACGACCACCTCCTTGGCCACCTCGTCCTGCTCCCCGCCTTCCTCCTCGTCGTAGTTGGGGTCGTTGCGGTCGATGGCGGCGGGCGCGGGGTCGAGCTCGCTGTCGACCAGCCCCTCGGGGCCCTCCCAGGTGTACTTGCCGCCGCGGCCGGACTTGGGCGGGGGCGCGCCGATGCCGACGCCCCGGGGCGCGTTGGCCGGGTGGCGCTCCAGCCGGTGCAGCCCCTGCTCCTCCAGCTTGCGCTCCACGTGCCTGGCCGTGTCCGGGCGCCTCGTCTCCGGCACCGGCAGCTTCTCCGCCACCTTGTGGCCCTCCTCGTCCCGGTGCACCACGCGCATGTGCGCCATCTTATCTTGTGAGCTCTCCTCTCCTGTTGTTGTTGGTCTGGAACTATGAGTCGCGCTGTGTGGGTGGATATCAGGATATGGATGTGATGGGGGAGAGCGGCTTATGTAGGAAGCCGGCGGGCCTGGGTGAGGTGGCGATGGAGGTGTCTAGAGAGTGCGTGAGCGGTGGAAGGGTGAGGAGGAGTCTAGAGAGTGATGGAAGGTGGCGGAAGCGGAAGGCGACATCTAGAGTGACGGGCGCGAGGACTGGTACCGCCACGCTAATATGCTCGTGACGCGACATTCACCGACATTGGGGTGCGGCTAGGTGATGTGCCGCCTACTGAACGTGACTTGTCCTGCTGATCTGTGGTCTCATGCTGGCATCATCTGAATTTTTTACTTTTTTTACTGAAATTAAATGCATACATTTATAAACTAAAATTTACTTATAAACTTTAGAAACATAAATCTGAAAAATGTTTAAACAGTATAAAGATTGTTAGCACATCTTCTAAACAATGTAGATAACTTTTTAAAATGTTCGTGACTATGCAAAAAATATTTCCGCTTTTCAAAAAACATATGCGTTTTTTTTTCAAAAAATATGTATACAATGTAAAGAAAATATTCGCGTAATGTAAGAAAACTGTTTCATGCCACTCAAAAAATGAAGCTCGCATTTGATGGAAATATACCTATGTTTCAAAAGAGAATGTTTGTGGCATTTAAAAATGTTATGTACAAGGGGAAAAAATGTTTATTTCCATAAAATATGTATCGTGAAATTTTACAGAAATATTTGCATGTTTCCCACAAATGATTGTGAAAATTCCAAAAGTATTATAAAATGTAAAAAATGTTTGCGTAGTTTTACAAAAATGTCTATTGCCATTTAAATAATGTACCACGTGTTTTGAAAAAATGTTACCAGGTATTCAAAGAAGGGTTCAAAACATCTATTTAAATGAATTTACATCATGTAAGCATTTGAAAATGTCCAAAGTGGATAAAAAGAAATGTTTCACATGTCCACTAAAAACGTACATTGTGTACTCACCAAAAGTAGACATGTGTTAAAACAAAGATACCGATTAAAACCGACAAAGAAACAAAAAAAGAAAAGAAAACCGAGGAGCACGAAGAAAACAAAAAGTAACCAAATGTAAAACGAAAAAACGAAAAAACTGACAAAAATAAGTGAAAACAAAGAAACAAAAACCAAAGAAGTCAGTGAAAAACCAAAGAAAAAAAGAAAACAAAACTAAAAACAAAATAAGAAAGAAAATCAGAGAGAGTGAGCGAACCTACGGCGAGGCATGAGCGGCAACAAGCTATTGCGCTGATGGGCCGCCCCGATTCTCTCGCCTCTAGGCAATTGCTAATAGGAATGTAAAGACGAGACATAACACAGTGACCGCAATTGCGGCTATAGCGTGAGTTCTTCATATGTGATTTTAAGTGGGCTTGGGCCACACAACATTGATGATGGATCAGGGTGTGTGTAATTGTTTAATTTTCATTTTTTGTTGGAAGATGGTCAATGTGAATGGCACACCGGTCCGTGGTGAGATGTGGGTGCTGATTTGACGCGGTATATGGTAACTATGTGTTATATCTAGTTTTCACATGATATTTTGTGTACTGGCCCGTTTTGCTATGCATGTAGTTATGTTTCGTGCTACTGCACAGTAGCACCATTGTCAATGGTCTCCTATACAATGGCATCATAGTCTGTTTCTATCTTACGTGAGCGTCCGATCTTCATGTATTGTGGACAAGCACTAAACTGTCCACTGGTATGAACAGACGCAAACACAACCAGCTCTAGCCCACAAGCCAATGACCACACCACTTAACTAAATGGCCCACAACATGGACCGTCCACAATAAATTGGTCATACCGACGGGAGTGCCTATTTGGCGCCTTCAGCGCCGCAGAGGGCAGTTGGCGCCTACACCAGCGCCTGGTGGGCCGGCCCACAAAGGCGCACGCAGGAAGACTTGTTATTATAGTGGCTCTCTACGAATCAAACTCGCGCCTTTCCACTCGTCTTCGAGTTTGCCTAACCGCTAAACCAACTAGATGCCAGTGGCTCCCTGCAGCGCCAATTGTTTTAAGAACCAGCTTACCTCGCTGATATTTTTTAATTATTTGAAAACATTATTGGAAAACATGAATTTTTGGATAAATAATTTTGGAAAGTTCACAAACATGCATACAAAAATTGGCTAATGCAAAAAGTTAATGTATTCAAATGGTTGACAAATTGAAAAAAAGTTCATGAAAATGAAAAAAGTGCACTAATTTATGGAAGTAGTTCACAACAATCATGTGTTTGAAAAAAGTTCACGGATTTGAAAAGGAAGTTCATCAAAATTGAAAAAATGTTCATTGATTTGAAAAAAGGTCACGAATTTGAAAAAGGTTCATCGTTTTTTGATAGAGTTCACAATTTTGGAAAAAGTTTTTCAATTATCAAAATGAGTTTACTAAATTGAAAAAAAGTTCATAGATTTTCAGGAAAAGTTGACAATTTTTTTGAAGAAAGTTTGCTAATTTAATAAAAGAAAAAAGGAAAAAAGGGAACACGGAAAAATCACAGAAAAAACGGCCAAATAAAAAATTGGGTTGTAAAGCATAGGGTTTGGGAAACTGGCTCGACACCCAAAACGGGGAGTGGCTATCTCATTATATAGAGGTACCAAGAGGTACAATACAATGTTATAATATTTACACAGAGGCTACGTATATATATACAGTCTAACACCCTTCCTCAATCTTAACTATGGCCAGAAGTACAAAGCAAGTTAAGATTGCGCCTACAGCCTACAAACTGTGGTTGTGGAAGAGGCTTCGTGAAGATGTCAGCAAGTTGGTCTTTTGAGGAGATGAACTTGATACAGAGTAGCTTCTGTGCAACACGTTCCCGAACAAAGTGATAGTCAACCTCAATGTGTTTCGTCCGAATATGAAACACCAGATTAGACGAAAGGTATGTGGCATCGATGTTATCACACCTAAGAACTGGAGGATGACCTGGAGAGATTCTCAACTCCCTTAATAAAGACTGTATCCATATGATCTCAGCGGTAGCATCAACAACTGCCTTATACTCAGCTTCAGTACTGCTACGAGATACAGTCACTTGCTTGCGAGCATTCCAGGCGATCAAGTTAGGACCAAAGAACACTGCATATCCCCCCGTGGATCGCCGATCATCAGGACTGCCAGCCCAATCCGCATCAGAAAAGGCTGAAAGTTCACAAGACGGTGCAGGCTGAAGGAGCAGACCATACGAGGCAGTGGAAGAGATATACCGCAGAATACGCTTCACTGCCATGAAATGAGATGTCCGAGGGGCATGAAGATACTGACATACACGGTTAACTGCATAAGAGACATCAGGCCTGGTGATAGTGAGGTATTGCATACCACCAACAAGACTGCGATACTCAGTAGCGTCATCAGGGGGAAGAGGATCTCCATCAAGGGCAGACAACCGATCAGTCGCAGACATCGGAGTAATAGCATGTTTGCAGTTGAGCATACCAACACGACACAACAAGTCCAAAGAATACTTCTTTCGAGTCAGAGTCACCCCAGAAGAAGACCGTGACACCTCCAGGCCAAGGAAGTAATGCAGAGCACCCAAATCCTTGACAGCAAAATCCTCACTGAACGCAGTCACAAGGCGGCCAACAGCAACATCAGAGGAACTGACGAGGATGATATCATCAACATAAACCAATAGATACATCGTAACCTCAGGACGCTGAAAGAGGAACATGGATGTGTCAGCAGTGGAGGGAACAAACCCAAGAGCCCGGAGAGCAGAACCGAGACGTGCATGCCATGCGCGAGGAGCCTGCTTAAGTCCATACAACGCCTTGACCAGACGACAGAGATGATGAGGACGCGTAGGATCAACAAAAACCGGTGGCTGACGCATATAAACCTCTTCCTCCAAAACTCAATGTAGGAAGGCATTCTGCACATCAAGCTGACGAAGAGACTACCCATGAGTGACAGCAAGAGACTGCAGCATACGAATGGTGGTAGGCTTGATAACTGGACTGAACATGTCTTCATAATCAAGACCATACCTCTGCTTGAAGCCCTTGGCAACCAGCCGTGCCTTGTAGCGTTCAATAGAACCATCCGCATGCCGTTTTACTTTAAACACCCATTTGGAATCAATGATGTTGATGCCAGAGACCGGAGGAACAAGTTGCCAAGTGCCATTTTTCAGCAAAGCCTGAAACTCCTGCTCCATCGCAGTGCGCTAGTGAGGAATACCCAACGCGGCCTGAAAATGACATGGCTCGGCCATCGGATCTGCAGCAGCATGAGCCATGCAAGCGGAAAGACACGTAACAGTCCCGTCTGTACGTTCCTTTGGATGAAAAATACCAGACCGGCTGCGCGTGTGTGGGCGAAGAACAACCGCAAGAGGCATCGCCTGCAACTCTGCGCTTGCCACAGGAGACGAAGGCGAGGCCTATCCTGACCCCGAGCTGGACGAGCCAGAGTCATCAGGCTCAGAGGCAGGCGATGGGACCGAGGTAGGACTGCCGAGTCCAGTTGGCGACAAGGCCGGCCCACGAGAAGTCGAGGGGGCCGAGGCGGGGCTACTCGGCGCAGCTGAAGGAGCCGCCGGACTGCCTGCAACTGGGCCGGGTGAAGTCGACACCCGCGGGTGGAACCCGCCAGCAGGCCCAGGCGAAGCGACCATCGAGCCAGGCGGGCTGGGCGAGGCTAACGCTCGCGGGGCAGCTGTGGGTGCAGGTGGCGCCCGTGGAGCCGGTGCGGGTGCGTCGGGCCGGCGGGCTCAACCCGCCATGCATGGGCCATGCATGGGATCGACGTGCCCATCGTGAGTGGTGTCCGTAGCTTCATCATCAAGGAGCTCAAGACGAGCACCACGTCCAACACCTGCAGCATGTTGTGGAACAAACAACAAACTACGCGAATCAGTAGGAATACGAAGAACATTAGGAAGATGCAGTTTTCGTGAATT